ACGTTGTCGACCTGTATATGTTGAGATGTTGTTATACGTGTTGTGTGCTATATACATTGTGAACTGTTAGGTTGGGTGGTCTGATTTTGTGTATGTTGTAGTTTGTGGAGGTTCGATTGGAGTGTTGGGAGTACATGTGTTTTGTATTGCTTTATTAAGAGTTAATTAGTTGCTTGTTGAATACCATTGTTGTTTGGTACCCACTCCTTTGATTCTACACTTGTGTAGGTTACGAACACATATCAACGTGATTACTCTCTCTTCTCTTCTACGTTCGAAGCTTATTGTTGGGAATTTGTGAGGTAGTTGATTGTCATCTCAACAGACACCTCTTACTCTTTCATTATGTTCTTGTTCTGTTCTAGAAACAAAGACATCCAAACTTGTATATATTGTAATACTTAGAGGCTTGTACATGTGACACCAAGTTCTGGGGCATTTATAAGTTATATTATTTTTCCGCATGTTTGAGTTATACTTAGGGGTCGGTTGGTTTGAATACAAGTTATGATGTGATTAGTTATGTTGGGGATAAGTTATGCTGGGAGTTGTTTTTATTGTTTGTTTGATTTGTCATATTCAAACTTATATTCATTACATAATTTTGGGAAAATGCATAAGTACCCCCCCAGCCTATACCCGAAATCCCAGAGACACACCTAACCTTTACTAAGGTCCTATTACCCCCCCCGAACTTATTTTATATGTAATATTCTACCCCTTTTTGGCCTACGTGACACTGTCTTGTGGGCCCAGCGCATGTTGACATTTTTTCAAGGATAGTGCCACGTAGGCCGAAAAGGGGTAGAATATTATAGATAAATTAAGTTCGGGGGGGTAATAGGACCTTATGAAACCTATAGGATGGACTAATGGGAATAGATGGACATGAGAATCACCTTAGTTCAGGGCTTACTAGAAACAATAGTCCATCTAATATGATGACACTGGTAAATATGGCTCTTCTAGAAGGAAAAGGAAAAGACAAAATCCTATTGCCATTACCAAAATTATGCATAGTTTTTATTTCAGGTCCTATATTTCCTAAGTTTGGATTTTTATTTTTTTTTGATAACCGAGAAATCCGTCTGTGACCCGCCCTTTGGACCAATCACAGTCTTCTAAACTCGGTGGATAATGGGCTCGCCCCTCTACCCTTCTCCACTTAAATACCAAACTTTGCTTTGCATGGTGTGGGGTCCTAAGTTTGGAGGGACTTTTGGTTTTTGACTTATTCTAACTTATGGCTGACTTATTTTTATCATTTTAGCTTAAAACGAAGTGCTTATTTTTTTCTGATGATTGTGGTGTCTGTGCTTGCTTTCGCGTACCTCGACTAATTCCACGGGGTACCTGCCATCTCCCACCAACAATAAGTACCAGGTAACTCTATCCACCAAGGCTAGGACAGATATAAAGAATCACCTAGTTTTTTTGTCTCCACTGGAATTTGAACCTGAGCCTCATGGCTCTCAACCGTTTCATTGACCACTAGGCCATACTCTTGGGTGCATTATAAGCATTTTTTTTTACTCGAACAATCCAAAAGTGCTTAAAAGCTATTTTGGCTTAAAAGCACTCAAAATATGTCAATCCAAACAGACTTTTAGTCCTATTAGAGATTTATATGCTGCTACTAGAAACAATAGAGAACTTCTAGCATTTCTTTTATTTTCTTATTTGGTGTAATATTGATCTGCGATGAGCTTAAATGGAGAGACATGGTAACATGTCTGCCTCAGTTAGAGCGTGACAGATCTTTCTTTCCTCATAACCCGTTTTAACCCAAAGCGTATAATTTGTCCTTAACCAATGGACATATGTGTGATCATTTAGGCAATTAAATCTCATACAATGACAGATGCAAGCAGACATGCATGTTAACTGCACACATACAAGTGTGGAGGAAAAGTGTCAGTATCTGCAAGGAACCAGACTTGTTTTTATCACTGCTCATGTCGTTTCCCCCCCTTTTTGCAGGTAAGATTAGTGAAGATGGTTAATGAAGCTACTGCTAATATCCCTGGATGGGAGACAGAGTGAGAATGAGTCAAACTTGACTTGTGTATTTACCTATATTTATACTTTGGCCATCTTCCGAACCACAGCGCATGGTCAATAGTTCCCAGAAGGCTTCAAGATGGATTATCTTTAGACCAAATATATGATTTAAACAAGTTAATTAGAAGTGGTGTCATACTAGAGTAGTTCTGTTCTTCATAGATATTTCTCTTCTCCCTCCATGGTACTTGTGGACTAAACTATAAAGCTAGTATTCTTTTTGTAAAAATCTGTTGTGTAATGTCTTTAAAAGTGTAATAGGTGATCTGAGGTCTAAATTATGTCACACAAGTTTTTGTGTCTATAGAAGTGATCTTTAGAACTTAACCGATGGCTGACTTATGCTGGAATTTTTCTTGTTTCTTTGTGGAGGCAATATTCTGTAGTTGCATTACACTGATGTAATTTTCACTTACAATTGTTTCTTCTGGTGTTTTCCCTTTTGAAAGAATCAGTATGAGTTATAAAGTTGGAAGTAAGGGGTCGATTGGTGTGACGGATAAGAGAAAGTTATCATGGGATAAAATTTTAGTATCTCTTAGGGGTCATTTGGTGTGAGGGATAAGAATATATAGTCTAGGATAAAAGTTTGGTGTCTTGTTTGGTTGACATGTTTGGGATAACTTATCCCACCATTTATACAATAGTTATGGGATAAGTTATCCCTATCCCATATACAGGGTGGGATAACTAACCCCAGGATAATTAATCCTGGGATAACTAGTTTCGAACCAAACTAATCCCTTGTATGATTACCTAGATGGGATAGCTTATCCCAGGATTAATAAATAGTACTGGATAAGTTATCCCTCTCTGGGATGAAATAGTAATCCCACGACATGGGATAAAGTATGCAAAATAACATTACCCCCTTAAACTCTCTTTGATACGCCACTTTAACATTCATCTATATTAACATAATTTTTAACAACTATAGTAACCTTCACAACCTTAATTAATAGTTTTTTTTTTATGATAATATATTTTTCTATTAAAAAAAATTACATTTTATAAATATAATTTTTATTTATGAATATATTATAAGTTGAATATATTTGCCTAATTCTTATGTTTATTTACATTTTGATTTCTCTTAAAATATTCACTCCACTACTAAATTTTTCCTAAAATTTGAATTAAGTAGTTTATTACTCACTTAAAAATTATATACCATGTATCAATTAAAATATAGATAACTTAAATAAAATTTATTTTACTTTGATAAACTAAAAATATAATTTTTATTTTTAAGCTAAATAAGATGGAAGTTTTATTTTTAAGTTAAATAAGATGAAATTTTAATTTTAAAAACACATGACACAATCATGGAAATGCACACAAAAAAATATTTAAGCTAAATAACATGAAATTTTTATTTTTAAGAATGAATAGCTAAAGCTTGCAAAGAAAGTGTAAAAAAAAAAACTAAGGTGAAGGGTATTTTTGTAGACAAACAACTTATTCTTAAAAATTATGGGGAAAATGCATAAGTCCCCCCCCAGCCTATGCCCGAAATCCCAGAGACACACCTAACCTTTACTAAGGTCCTATTACCCCCCCCCCCCGAACTTAATTTATCTATAATATTCTACCCCTTTTCGGCCTACGTGGCACTATCCTTGAAAAAATTGTCAACACGCGCTGGGCCCACAAGATAGTGTCACGTAGGCCGAAAAAGGGTAGAAAATTATATATGAAATAAGTTCGGGGGGGGGGGGTAATAGGACCTTAGTAAAGGTTAGGTGTGTCTCTGGGATTTCGGGCATAGGCTGGGGGGGTACTTATGCATTTTCCCCATAATTTTTAAGAATAAGTTGTTTGTCTACAAAAATACCCTTCACCTTAGTTTTTTTTTTTACACTTTCTTTGCAAGCTTTAGCTATTCATTCTTAAAAATAAAAATTTCATGTTATTTAGCTTAAATATTTTTTTGTGTGCATTTCCATGATTGTGTCATGTGTTTTTAAAATTAAAATTTCATCTTATTTAACTTAAAAATAAAACTTCCATCTTATTTAGCTTAAAAATAAAACTTTCATCTTTATTTAGCTTAAAAATAAAATTTCCATCTTATTTAGCTTAAAAATAAAAATTATATTTTTAGTTTATCAAAGTAAAATAAATTTTATTTAAGTTATCTATATTTTAATTGATACATGGTATATAATTTTTAAGTGAGTAATAAACTACTTAATTCAAATTTTAGGAAAAATTTAGTAGTGGAGTGAATATTTTAAGAGAAATCAAAATGTAAATAAACATAAGAATTAGGCAAATATATTCAACTTATAATATATTCATAAATAAAAATTATATTTATAAAATGTAATTTTTTTTAATAGAAAAATATATTATCATAAAAAAAAAACTATTAATTAAGGTTGTGAAGGTTACTATAGTTGTTAAAAATTATGTTAATATAGATGAATGTTAAAGTGGCGTATCAAAGAGAGTTTAAGGGGGTAATGTTATTTTGCATACTTTATCCCATGTCGTGGGATTACTATTTCATCCCAGAGAGGGATAACTTATCCAGTACTATTTATTAATCCTGGGATAAGCTATCCCATCTAGGTAATCATACAAGGGATTAGTTTGGTTCGAAACTAGTTATCCCAGGATTAATTATCCTGGGGTTAGTTATCCCACCCTGTATATGGGATAGGGATAACTTATCCCATAACTATTGTATAAATGGTGGGATAAGTTATCCCAAACATGTCAACCAAACAAGACACCAAACTTTTATCCTAGACTATATATTCTTATCCCTCACACCAAATGACCCCTAAGAGATACTAAAATTTTATCCCATGATAACTTTCTCTTATCCGTCACACCAATCGACCCCTTACTTCCAACTTTATAACTCATACTGATTCTTTCAAAAGGGAAAACACCAGAAGAAACAATTGTAAGTGAAAATTACATCAGTGTAATGCAACTACAGAATATTGCCTCCACAAAGAAACAAGAAAAATTCCAGCATAAGTCAGCCATCGGTTAAGTTCTAAAGATCACTTCTATAGACACAAAAACTTGTGTGACATAATTTAGACCTCAGATCACCTATTACACTTTTAAAGACATTACACAACAGATTTTTACAAAAAGAATACTAGCTTTATAGTTTAGTCCACAAGTACCATGGAGGGAGAAGAGAAATATCTATGAAGAACAGAACTACTCTAGTATGACACCACTTCTAATTAACTTGTTTAAATCATATATTTGGTCTAAAGATAATCCATCTTGAAGCCTTCTGGGAACTATTGACCATGCGCTGTGGTTCGGAAGATGGCCAAAGTATAAATATAGGTAAATACACAAGTCAAGTTTGACTCATTCTCACTCTGTCTCCCATCCAGGGATATTAGCAGTAGCTTCATTAACCATCTTCACTAATCTTACCTGCAAAAAGGGGGGGAAACGACATGAGCAGTGATAAAAACAAGTCTGGTTCCTTGCAGATACTGACACTTTTCCTCCACACTTGTATGTGTGCAGTTAACATGCATGTCTGCTTGCATCTGTCATTGTATGAGATTTAATTGCCTAAATGATCACACATATGTCCATTGGTTAAGGACAAATTATACGCTTTGGGTTAAAACGGGTTATGAGGAAAGAAAGATCTGTCACGCTCTAACTGAGGCAGACATGTTACCATGTCTCTCCATTTAAGCTCATCGCAGATCAATATTACACCAAATAAGAAAATAAAAGAAATGCTAGAAGTTCTCTATTGTTTCTAGTAGCAGCATATAAATCTCTAATAGGACTAAAAGTCTGTTTGGATTGACATATTTTGAGTGCTTTTAAGCCAAAATAGCTTTTAAGCACTTTTGGATTGTTCGAGTAAAAAAAAATGCTTATAATGCACCCAAGAGTATGGCCTAGTGGTCAATGAAACGGTTGAGAGCCATGAGGCTCAGGTTCAAATTCCAGTGGAGACAAAAAAACTAGGTGATTCTTTATATCTGTCCTAGCCTTGGTGGATAGAGTTACCTGGTACTTATTGTTGGTGGGAGATGGCAGGTACCCCGTGGAATTAGTCGAGGTACGCGAAAGCAAGCACAGACACCACAATCATCAGAAAAAAATAAGCACTTCGTTTTAAGCTAAAATGATAAAAATAAGTCAGCCATAAGTTAGAATAAGTCAAAAACCAAAAGTCCCTCCAAACTTAGGACCCCACACCATGCAAAGCAAAGTTTGGTATTTAAGTGGAGAAGGGTAGAGGGGCGAGCCCATTATCCACCGAGTTTAGAAGACTGTGATTGGTCCAAAGGGCGGGTCACAGACGGATTTCTCGGTTATCAAAAAAAAATAAAAATCCAAACTTAGGAAATATAGGACCTGAAATAAAAACTATGCATAATTTTGGTAATGGCAATAGGATTTTGTCTTTTCCTTTTCCTTCTAGAAGAGCCATATTTACCAGTGTCATCATATTAGATGGACTATTGTTTCTAGTAAGCCCTGAACTAAGGTGATTCTCATGTCCATCTATTCCCATTAGTCCATCCTATAGGTTTCATCTTGAGAAAAAACATCAAAAATAGTTGTTGCCTGAGGCTCTATAGTCGCAAACTTCTATGATAGAAGAAAGATAAACAGCAATGACCAATAAGGTAAAACGAAGCTATGAAGCAAAGGGAAGCCATAACATATGCTAGTACCTTTTGGCCACGTCAAGAAAGGGAAGTCAATCTGATCAGAGTATGCAAAACAAATGCAATGGGACAATACCAAAACTAAAGATAGCCTCTGTTGTTTACACAACATATAAATCTCGGCAATCTCAATTCTAAAGTTGGCAGTACAAATTTGAATGATTTCCCAGGTACTTTTTATAAAGTTAGTAGTTCTACAGCATACCGCAAAGCTGTAAACAGAGGTTTAAACGTACCACACTTTCAGGAACCCCTGGAGGGGGCAAACTAAGATTTTTTGGTGGAGGGCCTCGTAGGTAAGATCTTTTGTCAAATCTCCATTCACCAATCTTTCCATATGTCAACTCTCCCTGTTTAATCATCAAAAGGATTCAATGAACAGAACAATGTTTGTTACAGGTTAGGCCAAAAATTCCATGTTTGCAAGAACAGAATCTGTAAGTGTTTATTTTACCTTCATATTATAATCACATCCATAGGTATAATGAATAATAAACTTCTTTCCAACTTCCAGATCCCAAGGTGGCTGAAAATGACCGACATATGTTAGCTAGGGATTAGTCAAGCATAACATAACGAAGAAAAAGATATTTTCATTTAGCTCTTGTAGACCTGTAGCATGAAGTCCTTTCGAAGAATGTGCCGCACACCATGTAAAGCAGATGCCACGGCATAGCCATACCTGGAACAAGGAAATACAAATTAAATTTAGACTTCATAAGCGAAACATAACATCAACTACGAGCAACAACTGAAATGAGAAACAAAAACATCACACACATTTCCAGAACCCAGCCAAAAGCCTTGTCGGTTTCTGGATCATCTTTCATCCTCAGAGAAATATTCATCCATGTAGGAGCAATTTTCTCCAAAATGGACTGCAACATCAGAAAAAAACAACACAGAAGACCAAAAATGATTACATGGACCAGAGACATGACCAGCCCAAAACCCAGACATAATAATGAGATCAGACAGCATTTTCATCACATAGCATATTACAGCTAACCTTTTTAATTATTACAGGAGAATTTCCAATTGGATCAACATTAGTCACTGGGCCTAGATCCTCTGGATAGTATTTTCGTATAACTTCCTCATGTTCTGCTGGTTTTATGTAGAAAAAGGGAAATGCGGCTGGGAGATCTCCACGAGCCAAGTTTGGCAAGGGATTTGCAAATACATGGTCGGGCTCTGCCATTAGAATGTATCTGCATCAGTCATATCATATTGTACCGTTCAGACTATATGCATACATGAAAAAATGGTATACATTATCCAGCGTAGTGACTTACTCTTCTTCAATTGATGCCTTTTCAAGCCACTGAACAAAAGCCCATGGTCTGTTAAGAACAATATAACCCTGAAGATAAAATGGAAAAGTTTTCAGAAAAGTTAGGATGAGAAAACATTTTACTGGTGAAGCAACTTAAGTAATTAAACTCAGAGAATCAGAGCTTTCACATAAATAAAAGATATTGTCAGAACAACTCAATTTCGGTAAACTACTCGAGGCTCCCATGATTTCAAAAAAGAGAAAAAAATCAAATCATTTTCCTGTTCTAAGCTTTGAGCTTCTGAAGAAATCACTCAAGTTTCCCTCTGACAAATATTTCCTTGAACAAAGGAAAAAAATTTGAACAGGTCAAAGCCATATCACCCCTAAAGTTATCTAAAAGTTCATACATAGTTTGAGCCCCGGGACAGAAGATATGAAAGACCTAAACTGAGCAGATGGAAAACCAAACTATCTTGGCATGCACTAGCAGAAATGGAAGAGCCAAACTATTGGAAAGAGTTTGAGCCAATTTCATCTTGGCTAGTCTATAGCAGGAAAATTTGTAATGGCCAACTCTAACTGATTCATTAAACATGGCCATCTTTTTTACTTGCTTATTTTCTCTTCCTTTCCACCAAGAATCTTTCCCCTTCTTATTTCCTTGACAAGCTCTGCCCATAATAAAAAATTAACTTGTCAAAAGAGACCGGATTTTTGACATATCTACATTTTCCTCTTATGTCCTGGAGAAAAGATACTACTTGCCATATCTGGAATCATCATCACCTATTCGTTTTTGAGAAATAAAAGAATAGATTAAGATGATTCCAGACATGGCAAATAGTCTGGAATCATCTTCACCTGCAAAATCAGTTTTAATTCAATAGCTTCTTTAAGCAGGATGAAGGGGAATATTAGCTTCTTCAACTGATAGTCTAGTATTTGGAAAGGATTGTACCCTAGGCTACAAAGAAGAACTCTCATAGGATTTATTATACCAATTTTGAAACTGACATGAGTACAAGACAAGCTCCAATCTATGCAAAACCCTCCTCACTCTCTTTTTCCTTTTGCCGTAAAAAGTACTGTTTAGGTATGAAAAATAGAAAAAGAAGAAGAAGAGAAAACCATATATATTTCAAGTGAAGGGTGTTGAAACATTTCAGCACCTCACTGAAGGGGAAAGTGGATACTTTCCCTTGCTATTGCCATGGGTCCGAAACCCAGCTTGTGTAATCTTTTTATTTATAGCACGGAAAGATCTACTCAGAAATCAGCATCACTGAGATAGGATCCAACTCCCCCTGATACCTCAAGGGAATAACACAAGCTTTAGGCCAAATTTGGCTATGTTTCCGTTTTTATAAACAAGTTGTTTAGTTCCTTCAGTAAAATAATAGAAACTCTGATGTAGATTCTTTTCCCAATCAAACTTAAAGCTTAAAGAAACATCTAAGAAGCTTTCTCACACTCCCTGGGTTACTTTGGTGATCACGGGTTCAGCCACCACCTTCATTAATTGTCAAACACCCTTGATGAAATTCTGTATATGCCACTCACAAGAACATATTCCCATACACTCAGACTTTCCATATACCAAAATTTAAGACACTCACCAATCTTCCCAAAAATTTAAAACTCAAACTATTCAACTCTATTGTTTACTTACATGAGAAACTAAAACCTCCTTCCTCAAAGCCAGAAACTAACCAATCCCAAGAAAAGGGGTAAACTTATCAGTCACATAGGTTATAATCAAATTATCAAAACCAGAAGAAAGTAAACCTTTCCAAAATAACCTCAACATGAAAAAAACATAAAATTCACTTCCTCAAGTCTCAAACCATCAATTCCAAGTTTTTCACAAAGTTCTAATTAACATTTAAAAGAGTAAAAACTGTACTCATATCATATCCTACAATAAAACACATATGAGGATACACAAATTCCACAACAACAACAACATAGCATCCCACAAGTGATGTATAGTATATTGAGACCTTAACACTACCTCATGCACGAGTAAAATTCCACAACTAACAGTTTAAATATTTGAAAAATATGCAAAACCCAAAAGAATAATTCATCCAAACCAGCATTTTTTTTATTAAAATTAAACTCACCCGATCCAACCCTTCAGGAAGAGGATCAACAACAAAAGTAGGAATCTCCTCCATCAAATTATCAGGTTTACCCGAATGCAAAACCCGAGTAAACCCACCCATTTCGGATCCATCCCTCTCCTTCATCTTCTTATACCAATAGTACATAATCCTACACTGCCACTTACTGTACGGCGCATCAGTCGCCGTCAATGCCACGTGGAATTTCCGGTCACCGGATTTCACTAAATTCGATTCCTTAACCGGGTCAAACCATTCCGATCCTCCACCATTACTACTACTGCCACTAGTACTAATACTAACACTGCTACTTGTCGTTGCCCTATTGTGAATTATCAATGTAACCAAATTGTATGTTGCAAAGAAGAAACCTAATGCAAGTAAGATCAGTAACAATGGCGAAACCCGACTCATATTCTTTCTGGGTATCATTTTTGAGAATTTTGGAGAAGAGAAGAGGAGAAGATTTTCTCAACGCTTTTATAATTAATTAAAGTTTAAAGATTTTGTGAGTTATATAAATAGGAAAGTTATATTAAATTTTGTTTGATTTATTGATTGTCAAAATTGGATGTCTAAGTAATATATATAGTGTTTTAGTGGATGCTAATTTTGTTTTTAGTTTATTTCATTTTAAAGTGGAAAGAAAAAAGATAAACTCTTTGAAAAGAGAAATTTTATTATGTGTTTTAATTATCATGATAATTTATTTTATTTTTAAAAATTCAAAATAACTCATGGCTGTTACGATTTCTGTCACAGTTTCTATGGTGAGCACTTTGTGCACACTAGATAAATCCCCCATCGTGAAACAAATAATATATTTATTAACAGATTATTTATCATTTTAATTATTTAAAATAACAATTTTTGTTCAATGGATATTTTTTTTTTATGAAAATAAGAATAGGATAAGAGGAATGGGGAAATAATTACAACGCTCCCGTTCAATTAATTAAGTTACTAGTAAGATTTTTTAAAATAATTTTTTATCAATTTTTAAAATAAAAAGAGAGTTAATCCGAACGATGAAAAGAGTAGATTATTTCAACTAGGAAAGTATATTGAATTTGTTTCATTTGTTGATTGTCAAAATGGGAGGTCTAATTAATATATAGTGTGGTGGTTACTAGTTTTGTTTTTCTTGTTTTGTCTTTTTATTTAATTTTATTTAAAGCATGAAGAAAGAAAGAAAAAGGATAAATACTTTAAAAATAGCAATTTAACTAAAGATGTACATAATTTAATTTGAAATGATTCTTTTCTAGAAGAAATATTCGCCTCCTGACCATTTTATTTGTTATTTGAAAGTAGAAAGAAAAAAGAAAGAAAGAAAGAAAAATGATAAACTCTTTTAAAAAAAAGAGCAATTTTATTATTTATTTTAATTATCTTAATAATTTATTTTATTTTTGAAAATTCAAAATAACTCATAGCCGTTATGATTTCTGTCACAGTTTCTATGGTGAGCACTTTGTGCACACTAAATAAATCCTCACCGTGAAAAGATAATATATTTATTAAAAGATTATTTATCATTTTAATTATTTAAAATAATATTTTTTGTTCAATGTATTTAAAAAAAAATAAGATTAGGATAAGAGGAATGGAGAAATGATTACAATTAGGGGTGTTCACCGGATAAAAATTGATTCAAACCGATTAAATAAATCAATTTTATTTGGATTAGATTTGATTTGATTTTAGATTTTTAAAAATTGATAGTATTTAGTTTGGTTATAGCTTTGTTCGTAAAAATAAAAAAAATAACCGAACCAAACCGAAAAATTATATACATATATATTTTATTATTTTACATACATAATATATTATTTTTATAAACAATTTAAAGATCTCGTATATGTTTTCATCAAAATTTATTTATAATTTACTTATGAAAGTAAAAATGTCCAAGGTAAGAACATTCTTTGTGGGATTGATTGTCTCTTCCCTCTAGGACAAAATAGTGAATTTTGAAGCTTTGTTCGTAGTAAATTAAGTGATCGAGAGTTCTATAGTGTTAGTCATTCTAACTATTTTTTCATTTTGAATGGATTGTTGTCACTTTTTTCATCTTTTAAATTGTTTCTTTTATTTTTGTGTATGATTGATAACTGAATAACTAATTAAACTAATTCGAACCGAACCGAAATCGATAACAACTAAACAGATAAATGTATATTATATTTGATTTGGTTTGATTTTGATAATTTTGAAACCGATTAAGTTGGTTTGGTTTTAATTTTGACCAATAACTGACCCAAATCGATCCGTGAACATTACAATGTGTGAATAAAATTCTCACTAGTAAGATTTTGTAATAATTCTTTTTTAATATTTTTTTTTAAAAAATAATCTAAGCAACCACAATAACTAAAGAAGAGGAGAAGATTTTTTCAACTAGGAAAGTATATTGATTTTGTTCGATTTGTTGATTGTCCAAATGGGAGGTCTAATTAATGTAGAGTGTAGTGGTTGCTAATTTTGTTTTTCTTGTTTTGTCTTTTTATTTAATTTTATTTAAAGCATAAAGGAAGAAAGAAAAAGGATGAACTCTTTAAAAGAGCAATATAACTAAAGATGTACATAATTTAATTTGAGACGATTCTTTCTAGAAAAGAAAAAATTGTCTATTTTGATTACCATATTTTGATTTATTATTTTAATTATTTAAAATGATATTTTTGTTCAATAAATATTCTTTCTTAAAGGAAAAATAAAAATAGGAAAAGGGGAAATTGGAAATAATTACAATGTGTGAATAGAATACTCACGTCAGAGTGTAGATAGTCATTTAAAAAAAAAACTAAAAGTAAATGTAGATAGTCAATCTACTAAGTTACTAAGATTTTTACAATAAATATTTTCTCTTTAATAAGTAAAAAGAAAGTTAATCTAAGCGATCACAATGAAGTGTATATGTTTGCGTTCTTCACTAAGTTTTTTTATACTAATTAGTCAATGTTTACTTTCAAAAATAATTATTACTAAAATCAAAATAGAATGAGTATACTCAAATTATATTTTGATTTTTTAAATTAACAATTATTTTGGACCCTTATTTTACGCAAGAATAATAAGTAAAGTGGCTAGGAGGAGTACTAAACACGTCATGTGAACTTGCTAAATATAAACTAATTTTCTTCTTATCATGTTTTACATTTTTTCTTCTTAAATTTTCTCCATCACATAAATAAACATTATGTGTATATGTTAAAGTCAAGTTTTCTAGCGTATTAAGAGAAAAAACAAAGCTTTGAAGCATTCAATATATTTAATTTAAATTCAATATCTTACTATACATTATTTTACAATTATGGAGAGTGAATGAGGGGCTAATGCTTTTTTTTTTCTTTCGCAAAGTCAAAATTTGAAGACATATTCAAAGATTAAGATGTGTATAAAAATTGTTTAAATATTTAAACATTATATTAAAATTTGAGCTAGAATTTGATTGTTGTTTTGTGAATATCTAAATGTATAATATTTATATGCATTAGATTAATAAATATAAATTTCATATAAAATGTTAATTAACCGAACAATACAATTAAAAAATTATAAAATTATAATATGATTGGCGGTAAAGATGGCTAACAAATATGACTGCAAGTACCGACTAGGTATGATTGGTGATAACATTGGTTGATGGCGATAGTTATGTATAGTAGCTAGTGGTGATGATGATGATTAATAGTGGTGGTTGATGATATTAGTTGGTAGCGATTGTTGGTTGTGCGTAACAATTCTCAAGGTGATTTTGTAATTTTTATTTCTTTTCCCGGTTTCACCCTCCACATAGCTTTGGTTAGCCGTTCATAACTTGTGGAGATGGGTGATACGACTTTCCAAGTGGTCAAATGTGTTTTGGAAGAGTTGGTGAGTGTTGGAAGTTTGAAACTTAAGAGGGTTCACCAAAGCCAATATGTTGGATTAACGAGTACGGGTTCAAGTTTTGAAGATTCCACTAAGTCCAAAGGGTGAATTGTGACTTGGTTAGATGGTTTGCAAGGGTCCCTAGGTACTCGAGAATAATTTGGACCCTTGAATAGGATTTTGGAGTTCCTTAAGTTTAGAGTTGACCTTGAGCAACATTCAACTATGATAACCTCAAAATAACGATTTGACGATTTCGATAGGTTTGAAATGTGTTTTATGATCAATTTGCACTATTGATTTGTGTTCGAACTAGATTTTTAGTTTTGGGTACGGTATGTCTGTATCTTTGCAGGTGTTGTTTAGTAACCAAAATACTCCAATTCGAACTAATTTTTTTAGTTTTTTCTTATCAAAATCTCGTACTATATTTGATAATTTTGTTCATTAAAATTTAACTTAAATAAGAATAATATATTCCGCGTAGCTTCACAAAGTGAGGTATAAGTAATATAAAATGTATGCAGATATTATTCTTATATTACAGATAGAGAGGTCATTTCCGATAGATCTTCGGCTTAAAGAAAAACAATCCAGAAAGTCCTATAAAAAAAATAACGAAAGCATAAGAAACAACAATTAGTTACAGAATAGAAAATACAAATAAATAATCTGATAATCAAGGTATAAGAAACAATATATAGTAACAAAAATCGAAGGACGAGAAACTACATGATCAATACTACGACTATTAGTATATACAAATAGCAAAACAACACACTGCTACCAACTAACCTTCTATCCTAATCCGCGTCCTTCACACTCCCTTATCTAAATTTATGTCCTCGAATAAATTGAAAATAATTTTTTTGACTTTTTATTTATTTATTTATTTATTTCAATTAAAATTTAAACTCAAAAATTCTCATAATTTTTATTCCACTAACCAATGCGTTGACATTAAATATTAATCCAATTTATGCCCACTTTATATTAGACTGGTCCTACTATGATATTTTAGAGAAGGGAATTGGAGTTTTATGCCTAATTTATGTACATCCTATTTTAGTTTGGTCACTCTGGATACATGTTAAACTTTTTAATGACGATGTAATTTATTTTGATTTTTTATAGCAAAATTTTATTATAAAATACATATCACATAGTAACATAATATGAGATATTGTTATAATAAAATGTTATTAAATTAAAGAAAATAATTGTTATAGACGAGTGAATTTTAGTTGTAACCCATATGCACACATTATGTTAGATTATTTATTCTACATTAGACCACAAATAGAGATTAGATTTGAATGAATCCAATATAATATCCCTTTCATTTCATTTTATATTTGTAACGGTGTTTAACTTAATTCAATATTTTTAAATATTAATTTGATTTATGTATACACATAATATATTTCCACTTTTCAGTGATGAAAAATAGTATTAAAATGGAACTAACTATATTTCCTATAAATTGAAGAGAATTTAGAATTTTGTAAATGGAAGAGACTTTCAGATTTTATTCTATGTAGTTCATATTTAATATGATTTTGATATACTTATGGAAAAAAATAATTTCTTAAGTAGAAATTGATTGACTGTGATATTCATGTTTATCATTTCAGATTAAACCATTATTAGGTGAATTGAAATGA